AAGATGAGTAATATGCCATCCAATGAGGAGCTTACAATCCAGTTGGAAAAACGAGACCAACTCACACATGCAACTACTTTCATTCTTCTTTCTTCTCTTCCACTTAGATGAGTGTTGAACTTCAGTTGATTGGACCCTTCCTGGTATCTCTCCAACTTGTCCCTCTGTACTTCTTCCTTGTGCCTAGATTCCCCAAACTGCTTCCTAGATGATCTTTCAGCCTTCCACTTATCCTCTCAAGTTGTCCCCCACATTACTTTAAGATTAATTTTCTTAAAATTGTTTTCACCAAGTTATTCACTTGCTCAGACAACCATAACAATTCCCAAATGTGCGCTGCATCAAATCTGAACTCATCCACAGGCACAGGCTGTATTGGATCTACCAACTCATAGATTCTCTACATTCATTGTTCACTAACAATGAATAAATCCAGTCCGGCCCCGGTTGGTATGGCTCAGTTGGTTGGAGCATTGTCCCATAGCCAAAAGGTCATGGGTTCAATTTCTGGTCAGGGCACACGGCTGCGTTTGGGGTTCAGTCCTGGCTGGCCAGAGTTGTGAGAGGCAGGTGATCGATTTTCTTCTCTCATACCCATGTTTCTCTCCGTTTCTCCCTCCTTTCCCCTTTCTCTAAAATCAACACGCAAGTGAGGAGGAGGAGAAGGGTGTGGGGGGAGGAGGAGGAAATTGGTCACCTGGTATCTGGGAGGAGGAGGAGGAGAAGAAATCAAGTCCAATGTTTTCTAAATAGTTTAAACCACTTAAGCTGTATGATTCTACATGAGCAAAATCCATATTTCTAACAATTCTCTCAAGAATCTTATCTTTTCTGCAGGTAGGAATACCACACTGAGACAATGAATTCTAAAAGTGTCAGCTTTCTGAGGAGTGCAGGAGTTTACACCTCCAGAGCCTCTGAACTCCCCTGGCTGTTGCCTTGCAGTCTGCTTTACTTATTTCAATTCTCATTACTCCTTTGTATACAACCTTCTCCTCTCCCCCATGAGAGAGGACACATCTCTTTTCATTTGTTTTGCCTTCCACCCTTCTTACACACTCCCCTTCCTTCTTTTCACTCCATTATGATTTACTCTTTCTAAATCTAACTTGCTTTATTGATATTATTCTTCACCTAAAAAAACCCCAGCAAGATAATTCAGCCAGTGTCCATACCATCAGCAAGCCTAAGGTATAGGCAGAGGAGAAAGGAAAATGAAAAAGAAGGGAAGAAAAACATTGAAGTAGAAGACAGAATTTGGGAAAAGGAAATAATAATTGCTGCCATTATCAAGTGTTTACAATGTGCCAGATACTTTCTATACATCCTCAGAACAATCTTGATCTCCTATCCTCAAGTTTAAAACAAGGAAATGGAGAGTTAAATGATTCATTTGAGGCCAGTAAGGGTCAGAAACCAGACTGCATCCCAGGTGAATTAAGCCCATCCTCTTATAACTAGAGAATATTATCTCCACAACAAAAAGTAAGATGAGAATATAAAGTGGAGACAGATCAGACCTTATCAACAAGTGCTCTGAGTGCTACTAAAAAAATTATAGCACCATTAGTTACCAACAATTATCTAGAGATAGCCATTAAGTTTTCAGCATGACAAAATTTAAGATTTTCTCTTATACACAAACCCCTTTACCTTCCTACATGGATACACACACATTGGCATACACACTCACACATGCACATCTCAGCTAAAAAGTCTGTATTAAAATTTGCATCCTCCTGATCTTTACACTTGTATCTGGGTTACCGGTATATCTGTTCCTTTTTAGTTTTGACCCATGCTAATCTTTTAAGATTCTCTTTATTTCTCCCCTTTCACCTTATTTCATGATTCCCCACCTTTTCCTTACATCACTTTTAATTAGCACCTCTTTTTCTCTTTCATTCTCATCTCCTTCATTGCCTACACATGTTTCTTACTTTAAGAGGGTGTTGTTAGTACAGGAAGTTCTAGCCACAGAAATCGAACAAGAAGAAATAAAAGGCATACAGATTGGAAAGGTAGAAGTAAAACTGTTGTTATTTGCCGATGACATGATACTCTATATAGAGAACCCTAAGGATGACACCAAAAAACTACTAGAGCTGATAAATGAATTAAGTAAAATAGCAGGATACAAAATAAATAGCCAGAGATCAGTTGCATTGTTATACACCAGTAATGAACTATCAGAAAGGGAAACTAAGAAAACAATCCCATTTACAATTGCACAAAAAATAAATAATAAATAAATAAAATATCTAAAAATAAATTTAAGCAAAGATGTAAAAGACCTATACTCAGAAAATTATAAGACACTAAAGAAAGAAACTGAAGAAGATACAAATAAATGGGAGTATATACTGTGTTCATGGATAGAAAGAATTAACATAATTAAAATGTCCATATTACTCAAAGCAATTCAATGCAATTCCCATCAAAATACCAATGGCATATAAGTTTAATGCAATTCCCATCAAAATACCAATGGCATATTTCACAGAACTAGAACAAGTATTCCAAAAATTTATATGAAACCACAAAAGACCCAGAATAGCCATAGCAATCTTAAGAAACAAGAACAAAGTTGGAAGAATCATGCTATCAGATATCAAACTATGCTACAAGGTCATAGTAATCAAAACAGCATGGTACTGGCATAAAAGCAGACATATAGATCAATGAAACAGAATAGAGAGCCCAGAAATAAACCCCCGCCTTTACAGTCAATTAATTTAACAAAGGAGGCAAAAACATGTAACGGGGTGAAGATAGTCTATTCAATAAATGATGTTGGGAAAATTGGACAGATGTGTGCAAAAAAATGAAACCAGACCACCTTCTTACATCATACACAAGAATAAACTTAAAATGGATTAAAAACTTACATGTTAGACTTGAAACCATAAAAATCATAGAAGAAAAAACATAGGTAGCAAAATCTCAAACATTTCTTATAGCAATATTGTTTCTGATATATACATCCTTGCACAAGGGAAACAAAAGAAAAAGTAAACAAATTGGACTACGTCAAACTAAAAAGCTTTTGCACAACCAAGGAAATGATCAGCAAGATGATAATACAACCCACTGAATGGGAGAACATATTCACCAATGATACATCTGATAAGGGGTTCATATCCAAAATTTATAAAGAACTCAACACCAAAACCCCAAACAATCCAATTAAAAAATGGGCAAAGCACATGAACAGACACTTCTCCAAAGAGGATATACAGATATACAGACCAAAAGATGTATGAAAAGATGCTCAATGTCACTAATCATCACAGATATGCAAATGAAAACCAGAATGAGATATCACTTCATAGTAGTCAGAATGATTATCATCAGTAAATCAACAAACAACAAATGCTGGTCAGGATGTGGAGAAAAGAGAACTCTCATGCACTGTTGGTAGGAATGCATATTGGTGCATCCACTGCGCAAAGAAGTATAGAGTTACCTCAAAAAATTAGAAATGGAAACTGCCTTATGACCCAGCAATTCCACTTCTGGGAATATATCCAAAGAAACCTGAAACAGTGGCTTAAAATTTAAGAATATATGTACCCTTATGTTCATTGCAGTGTTATTTATAATAGCCAAGATTTTGAAGCAGAGTCCATCAGTAGATGAGTGGGTAAAAAAAGCTATGGCACAATACACAATGGAATACTACTTGGCTTTAAAAAAAAAAAGAAGGAAATCTTACCCTTAGCAATAGCATGGATGGACCCAGAGAACATTATACTAGGTGAAATAAGCCAGTCTGAGAACAAGTACCATATGATTTCAGTCATATTTGGAATCTAATCAACAAAATAAACTGACAAACAAAATAGAAATAGACTCATAGAGAACAGACTGACAGCTGTCAGAGGAGAGGGGTGTTGTGGAGCTGGGTGAAAAAGGTGAAGGGATTAAGTAAAAACACAAAAGAAAACAACAAAAAACAGCCCTGGCTGGTGTGGTTCAGTGGTTTGAGCGCCAGCCTGCAAACCAAAAGGTCACTGGTTTGGTTCCCAGTCAGGACACATGCCTGGGTTGCGGGCCAGGTCCCCAATGAGAGGCGCTAGAGAGGCAACCACACATTAATGTTTCTCTCCCTTTTTTTCTCCCTCCCTTACCCTCTCTAAAAATAAATAAATATCTTAAAAAATTCTCACAGATATACAGACAGGATGGTGATTACCAAAGGAAAAGGGGGGTGGGTGGAAGCAGAAGAGGGTACGGGGGTGGGGGGGAAATGGTGACGGAAGGAGACTTGACTTGGGGTGGTGAACACACAATATACAGATGAGTATACAATATACAGATGATGTACATATTATAGAATTGTACACCTGAACACCGTATAATCTTACTGACCAATGTCACTCCAATAAATTTGATTTTAAAAGTACAAAAAAAGAGGGTGCTGTTGGTCCTCAGTAGATATCTGTACTTTCCTCATTTCTGCCCTACCAGCCTTTGTCTTCATCTTCCTTCAGTCATTCCTCCTTCACTACAACTCCAATTCCTACCCTGCTCCCTCTCAATTGCCCATTCCCCTCCACTAATCCTCCCTACTTCCTCACAAACTCCAGTTATCCTCCCATCCACCTTGTACCCTTTTTCCCGCCTTTTCCTCCCAAGGTTCTAAAGCGCGAGGACCTCATTGTCTTTCTCCCCCATCCTCCAACCAGCCCACAGGACAGCCTTGTTACCATGACGACGGAGCTGGTGAAAGCTGAAGTCAAGGACCTGGTTGCCATGACTTCTGCTTCTCCGCCTCCATCCCCGCCCACGCGCCCTGCAGCGTTGGCGCCTGCGCATTACTCTACACGTAGGGGCGGGGAGGGGCTTCAAGCCGAGGGGGAGGAGGAGAAGAAAGGATAAGAAAGGGAGTGGAGCTGGCGCCTACGGTGGCCGAAGAGGGACGTGCCAAGACGGAGGCTGCAGGATGGTAGGCTATGCGAAAAGGGAGGGGAGGGGGAACCGAGGGACGTGGGTTGTACCTGTGGGGGTCCTTGGGGGCCGCCCTCTGTGGGATCCGCGCTTTCTTCCTCCGGTCCTGAGAGAACCTCACTTTCCTGGGTGGGCGAGCTGGCCTTGGGAGGAAGAGCAGCTGGAAATGGCTTTAGGGAGAAGGGGCGGGGAGAGGACGTATTAGTGGGGCGAGAGGGCTGATTTAGGGGGCGGCGGGACCGTCCCGAGTCAGGGGAGGCGCGCGGGTCGCGATCCAAGGGGTCCCGACCACTGCCGCAGGGAAGTCGCCCGAGGAATAGGGTCGTGAGGGCCTGTTGGCGGAAGCAGGCAGCGGGGAGCGCGGGTCACACTGTGTCCCTGCGCAGCCCTGATAGGAGCGGTCGCCGGGGAGTTAGGGCTGTATGGGAGGGTATAGTTTCCGGGTCCGAGGAGTGGAGGGCCTGCTTCGGTTTATCGCCCGGCTGCCTAGAGGCAGGGTAAGGTGGAAAGGCAAGTGGGCTCGAGGTCTTGCTCTTGAGGACCCAGGCTTTTAACCCCGGCTCCGGTGCTCTCTTGCTCTCCGCTCCCCACCCCATTCTCTTTCCGGAACCCAGGCCTTCCGTCTTCCTGCTCGTCCCTCCACCCCTGTCTTAGAGGTGCAGGGCTCCCTGGCGCCCCTCTGTTGCCTTCCCACCATGCTAACGGCGCTTCCCCTTCCTCACCACCAAAAACAAACGAACACAAACAACACCCCCCCCCCGTAATTGTAATTAGCCTACTAAACGGTATTAAACTAGTACTATTTCACGCACCCAAAGATTCCAGCCCTGGTAAAGTCCGTGGCGAGGAGAGCTGCAGGGAGAAAGCAATAACTCGAGATGTGTCCTGGACCTCCTGGAACTGAGTAGCTAGGGGCACACCTGGTAGGAAGGCTCTGCATTCCTCCCTAATCTGCCCAGTTTGAGCCTTGTTCCACAAGCATTCCCTAGGAGAACTACCCTGGATGGCTGTGTACTAACTGAAGACCTGAAAGGGAAATTGATCACCTGGTATCTGGGAAGGAGTGGGCAGGTAGGAAGAGGCACCTTGAAAGAAGGAAGAGAGGAATACCAATGGCCAAGTGCCTGGATGGCTGATGATAGAGGAGGGTGGAATTTGGAGGGTGGGGATTCTCATTACCAAGTGCTAAGATGAAAAACACCCCTAGGCATATGACTGGCATAGGAAGGCAGTGTGTTAGGGACATCTTCAAATGCGAGTGGCTAGGATGGGGTGGAGAATTGAAGTAGCTTCTTCAGGGACAAAATATCTGATTTCAGTGTGGTGGTGGATAGAAGGAGCATGGAAGGAAGCAGACATCTTGACATCAGCTATGGGCTGATTGTCACTGTGTTAGGCATTTTACTTACCTTTAGGAAACAGGAGGTTGGGGAAAAATAATAGTTTAGTGTTACAGTGTTTACCATGTGCCAGGCACTGTTGCATACATCAACTCATTTAATCCCTCCTAACAAGTCTGTAAGGTAGATACTTTTAATATTTCTGTCTTATAGACCAGAAAACTGAGGCCTAGAGACATAAATTGTCCAAAGCAAATTACTCAACTAGTGAAGACAGAATTTCAACCCAAATGACAGACAGATTCAGAAGCTCAGACACTCCACAGAAGGAAAGGCACTAGCTGGTGGAAATACCCAGAGTCGAGAGCAAGGGCTGATTGTTTGAAGAAAGTAGGAGCTGTGAGTGGAGAAGAATTAGATGAGATGAGTTTGGGGCTGTTTGTTTATGGAGGAAAGAACCTCAGAGAATCAAATCTCTGACCCTCTGCTCTGCCTTTTCTCCCCCTAGATGCGATTCATGCTGCTGTTCAGCCGGCAGGGAAAGCTGAGGCTGCAAAAATGGTACCTGGCCACATCGGACAAGGAGAGAAAGAAGATGGTTCGGGAGCTTATGCAGGTTGTTCTGGCTCGCAAGCCCAAGATGTGCAGCTTCCTGGAATGGAGGGACCTCAAAGTTGTCTATAAGAGGTGACTCCCCACCTACTTTCAGACCTCCCTGGATCCTGCTTGATTGGCGCCTGGCAATGGGTTTGAATGGCTGAGTAATAAGCAGTGCATAGGTCAGGGAGAACTGAGAGCTAAGGACATCTGAAGGGCAGTGATGAGCTCTAGCTTTCTTTCCTTTACTAACTCACCTTGAAGAAATTTTTTTAAAGATTTAATTTATTTATTTATTTAAAGATTTTATTTGTTTATTTTTAGACAGAGGGGAAGGGAGGGAGAAAGATAGGGAGAGAAACATCAATGTGTGGTTACCTCCCTTGTGCTGCCACTGGGGACCTGGCCCACATCCGAGGCATGTGCCCTAGACTGGGAATTGAACCGGCAACCCTTTGGTTCACAGGCCGGTGCTCAGTCCACTGAGCCACACCAGCCAGGACTGCCTTGAAGAAATTCTTATTCCCCACTTAGTTTTCCTCTAATCTCATACCTACTTCATGCACATAACTCTGTCCCGCAGGCCCTATCTTGCCCATTACACACGTCCCTTGCTGTCTCATTCAACAATCATAAGTCCTGTGCTGCCCTAACTGGTGTGGCTCAGTTGGTTAGGCGTCGTCCCACAAAGTGAAAAGTCACTGGTTCAATTCCTGGTGCACATTGCCTGGTTTGCAGGTTCAGTTCCTGATTGGTGCCATGCAAGAGGCAACTGATTGATGTTTCTCTCAAGTTAAAGTTTCTCTCCCTCTCTTTCTTCCTCCCTTCCCCTCTCTCTAAAAATAAATAAAATATAAAAAAAAAATCCTGTGCTACTTTTCCCAACACACAGACACTTTCCAGTTCCTTTTCTGAGCAGGTGAATTACTTGGCTCAGTTTTTTGCTGAGTCAAAGTGAGCAGGTCAGAGAGCAAGAGGAGTTTGGTGTCTGCCTGTTTGTGAGAGGCACTTAGAGACTGAACGAGTTACTGCTTGTATACCCTGGGACCACTCCACGTCTATCTAGTAGCCACACAGACTCTAAGCTGGGAATGAGGAAAAATGAGAGGTTTGAGCCTAGAATGCCTGGTCCTGGAGCAGGCCTAATAGCCTTCCCAGCTACCTCTCTCATGTGCCCCTGCCTTCAGATATGCCAGCCTCTATTTCTGCTGCGCCATCGAGGGCCAAGACAATGAACTCATCACACTGGAACTGATCCACCGATATGTGGAGCTCCTGGACAAATACTTTGGCAGCGTAAGTCTCCCCACCCTTCCCTGTTTCCATACTCAGCAATCCCGTGTTGCCTCCAAACTCTGGGACCCTTCTGTTCTGCCCTGGGATACTTGGGAGAGGTGAAGTTGGAGCAGTGTGAATGGTAAGTTCTCTCTCTCTTTAAGCCTTAAACCTAGCCATGCCCCTTAGCCAGCTGGGGGCAGAGAGTGGGGACCAGAATCCGCCACTTAATAAATCCATCTGCAGCTCAGCTCAGACTTCTCACAAAAGAACAGAGGCCCTATTCAGATTTTATCAGTAGTTCCTGATCTTGACTCCTCCTCCCCCGCCCCACACTACCTAGGGAAGGAGGCTAGCCCAGCTGCTGGTGGGAACAATGTCACAGATTTGGGGTGGGGGGACAGCAACAAGAGCCGTAGTCAAGGGCAACTAATATTTTATGATCACATAGAAAGAGGCAGGAGAAAGAGAAGGAATACCTGAACCAAGTCTAAGGCCTAGGGGTTGGGAAAACAAACCTGGGGCCAGAACCCAAGGTGGGAAGGGTCATCGTGAAGGAGGCAGGGAGCCACATTGAGAAAGGAGCTGGGACAGCTTGGATGGGAATGCACTTCATCACTCAGTTCTGCCTTTCCCCCTCCTCTCAGGTGTGTGAGCTGGACATCATCTTTAATTTTGAGAAGGCCTACTTCATCTTGGATGAGTTTTTGATGGGGGGTGATGTCCAAGACACCTCCAAGAAGAGTGTGCTAAAGGCTATTGAGCAGGCTGATCTGCTACAGGAGGTATGGGCCCAGAACAGTGAGGAGAAGGAAGAGTATCATGGTAGAAGGTGCCGTCCCTCCCCTGGACACCCTGCCTGCCTGCCGCAGCTGCCCCCTTCCCGCCACCGCCTCCAAAGGAACCCCCTACCCTGTGGCGTCTGGCCCCCGCGCCCAGTTGGCCAGCTTGTCCTCAAGCCCTGATTGCTTGGGGTGAAAGGTTGGGGTGGTAGACAGCCCCCCGCCCCCGTGTCAATTTTCTCCTCCTTCCCACAAGATCCAAAGTATCTCGCCCCAGCTAAATATCCTTTGTCCCTTGCTTATCTTAGCATTAAGGGTTGCTCAACAAGTTAGAGAAAGAACACACAGTAGATAATTCTTTTCTTCCCCCCTTTTTTTATCCACACTCAATGAGCCTCTGCTTCTCAGAAGCAAAAGGCTGTAGGGATTTGGGGGTTGGGATAGAAGGCACCTAGTTACTTACTGGTTCACGCTGCTGTCAGGCACCCCTGCCCTCACCACATTAGTGCTTGCCCCCTCTCCGCTGTGTCACTGCTGAGACTTGGTGCAGGAAGATGAGTCACCAGAATCTGCAGTGACAAGCAAGCTGGCCTGAGCTGGCTTTGAGGAGGGGGTGAGACAGGGGCCTCTTCTCTGCAGTAGGAGAAAAGCAGAACTGAACTTGTCACCTCATTGGTACAGGTTCCCTTATACACATAAGTGTGTGCATGTGCAAATACCCTAGCATACATGTGCCTTGGTACACACACACATACACACACACCTGTTACTGGTGCTCTGCTTAGATCCTAATGACTCATCTCTCTGCAGTCTGGTTCACCATACCTCAGGGACCTGATGCCAACCTTTTACTCCTCTCTACCCCTGAAAAAATGGACCCAACCGTGTGCCAACCCCAGCCCTCAGAAAGTGTTTCCCATTCCCCAGTCCCAGCTTCACTCCCTTTCCCCTCAGATACTAAAGCTGAGCCCCCTGCTCACCAACCTGGCTTTGGGTTCTCTGGGTGGTGGTGGATTCAACTTGGACCCTTCTCCTTGTCATGGTTGGCTCTGGGAGGTGGTCCTAGGAGGCTGGGGAACTCCCCTGAAGGGTTCCCCAGCTGTTCTGCCTTGGGCTCACATTGGCTTCTCTCTCTCCTCCCCATTTCTCTGTGTGCTTCCCCCATTCTGCCTCTGTCTTTGTG